TAGTAGCAGTGTCTTATTTAACATCCAATGGGAGCATTTATTCCAGGCATGTATACATATGTCAGGCTTCTCCAGCTTGGTTAGTAATATCCCTGCTCACCGTTGCTCAGACTTCATGTGATCTGTCTGCACGTCTGTTTGGTACAGATATATGTACCGTGTATGTGAGTGTGTGTGTGCATGTGTGTCCAGTCTGAATTATTCTCCTTGTTCACTTCTCACTGTTCCTACTGCAGTCCTAATCCAAGACAATATCATTTCTCACCCAGGGTAACAGAGTAAATTTAGCCATTCCTCTCAGCCAGTGTAGATGCCTTGACTCTTCCCTTCCTTTCTTTTGTCAGCCACTGTGTCTTTAGTAAGGGCTGAGGGCGGAGTACTTTAAGGGGAGATGAATATTTAATTCCACCTTGCAGTTATCCAAGCTTGTCATTCCAGTTCACAGGTGGAAACCTAATCGCATCTGGAGCAAGAACTTCTTTAGTGTTAATCCGCTGTTAATGAATTTGTTAAATTGGTGTTTGCTGACACACAGAAGGAAGTGTTTCCTTCTACATAAGAGGGCCTGCTGTTTAATCTACACAGAACCCCGTGGGCAGTGGAGGGAAGCGGTCTTTCACTGGAGCAAGGAGGATCCAGTTAGACTGGCTTTTCCCCTCTTGTTCTGGCTTAGAGGAAAGAGCTCTGATAAAAGCAAGACCCACTGTCTGCTCATATTTTAAAGGTACAGAGTCATGTCCTCTCCTGCTGAGTGTTTTCTTTACTGCTCATGTTTGAAAAAAAATGAGACATTTAAAAGTTCTTCTTTCAATAGACTAGACTATATTTTTGATTGTTAAGCTCTGTGCCAAAAAGGTATTTTTTTACATAACTTTTTAAGAATATATGCAATGGCTGGGTGGTGGTGGCGGTGGTGGCAGTGGTGCATTCCTTTAATCCCAGTACTTGGGAGGCAGAGGCAGGTAGATCTCTGTGAGTTCAGGTCTTGTAGACCAGCTTGGTCTACAAAGAGCTAGTCCAGGACTGCTGCGGGAGTACCTTCCACTCCTTCAGCCAATAGTCGCTGAAGTACGAGCCCACGGTGCCCCAGGAGCACTGAAGGAGCTGAACACACTCCCGCAACACCGTGGGCTCGTACTTCGGCGACTATTGGTTGAAGGAGCAGAAGGTACTCCTGCAGCACCTCCCCCTTTTGTTTAAGTAAGAGAGTTCTAAACCTACTACGAAATTATATACAGTAAGCACAAACCTACAAAATTATATACAATAAGTACAGTGCACCAAAGCTACAGAAAAACCTTGTCTTGAAAAGCCCATGCATATATATGCAGTGTGGTGAGGAAGAGATGGCTTGATGGATAAAGCAGTTGGTGCAAAACCATGATGACCTGAGTTAAGATCCCCAACCACAGAAAAGCGCAGGATCCCCAGGGCAAACTAACTACTAAATTCAGGGCCCAGAACCAGGATAATGCTGGGATCCCCAGGGCAAGCTAACTACTAAATTCAGGACTCAGAACCAGGAAAAAGCCGGGATCCCCAGGGCAAGCTAACCAGCGAGGCTAGCTGGGATTGGCATTCTTGGAATTCCGAAAGAGATGAGCAGTGAGGATAGTGCTCAAAAAAGAAAGCTGACGCCAGACTTATGCTTCTGAACACACATGCATGCATATGTATAGTATGCATATACTGCACATAGCTGCATCAAAACACACGAGAACACAGAGCACCAAAAAGGAGGACATGAAATGTTGTCTGAATTGCAAAGGGGTACAGACAGGAGTGAAATCACGGGTAGGACCATTCAGAGTGAAACACGTGTTTAGATAGACACGGTTACCATAAACACCCACAGACTTACCTGTAATCAGCCTACCCATTTGATTTCTCTTTGGTTTGGTTTGGTTTCGTTTCGTTTTTTGCAACCTGCTGCTTAATGTGATTAAAAAATAAAATGATTACTCAAGGGAGTCCAAACTGCTTGTTGAAGAAATCTGGTAGGAAATTTTTTTTACGGAGCTCATGTGAACCTCGTGTGCTCTATGAGGACCCTCTCATTAGCTTCCAGAAGAACAGGGATGAACATTATGAGGCCGTTTCCTATAGCAATAGTTTATACCAGCTAATGTATCACACCAAACATTGCTCATAAAAGAATGATTCTCTGAGGGCTAGATCTGGTCAAGTGCTGTGATTCATAGATCCAATTCTCTTGGGTTCTGATTTGGTCATAACACATACTTAAGAAAATCTAGGAAACAGATAGTATGTTCCTTACCCAGTTTTTATATGTCTGTGTCCCATCCGCCTGCCCCCCACCCCCACCCCAGGGAAGCCTCCTCAGCTATTTGGGATTAGTAGATGTGCTCCAGTGTCAAAGCTTTCATTTTTAATCCAAGCCCACATCAGTATTTACATTTCGGAAGAATGCACAGTCTGAGGTTGAACTGACTTCTTTTAAAAACTGAGTAACCAATAAGGATCCAGGCCTTAAGGCCGTTGAGCCTGAGATGAGGTGAAGATGTTTCCTAATGAAAAACTCAGGCTAACATTTTTAAATATTTGAATGTGTTTTAATATCCATACAGAATGTGACATAAACCGCAAAGTCCTACTTTACCCTACATTATAGTCACAATAAGTTTATCCTGGAAGTTTCTTTGATCTACACAGCCCAGATACCTAACTCTTGGGAAACCTTAGAGCACTTAGAAAATTTTATTCACCTTTGAGAATGTGACTTCTTGATTGAGTTTGTGGAGTGACAGTATTTATGTCACAAATGGAGGGATAGCTTACTGGGGGTCACATATTTGTTTGCAATAGATGACACACAGCCATTTCTTTTCTTTTAGAAATAATGAACAGATGCCTTCCTTACTAGTCATGCAAAACCATAGTACCTGAAGTACTGAAGGGGACCTGAAGTTTTAATAATAGTAAACTAATTACTTCAACTATTGCCAGCCCGTGTACAAAAGAGTATCACATTCCTAATAAGCAGGCTAAGAAAAAAATTAAACTAGAGAACACTTTCTTATGTTTCACAGAAAAAAATAAGTTGAATTTACAGCAATACTGCCTGACTCTTGTAGAACTGAGGGCTGGATCTGAGTTAACACTAGTGATTTTGTGAAGAAAATTAGTATGTGGAATTGGATATGTTGGTACCAGACTTGGTGATAGGGAGCAATTACCAATTACCAAATGGTTGTTTTTTTTTTTCTTTTTATTGGGGTGCATGTGTGTATGTGCATAGAGTGTACATGAGTATGTGGGTGCATGTACTCATGTATGGGTATGCAGAAGCCAGAGAAAGACACTGGATGTGCTCTGCCATTCACTGAGGCAAGGTCTCTCTCACTGAACCAGAACCTCACCTTCCTGACAAGGACAGGCAGCCATGGAGCGCTCAGATTCCTCCTGTTCGCTATCCCAAATCTGTAGTTACAGGCTCATGAAGCCATACCCTATGAGATAGCCATTAAATGCAGATTTGTGTTTTCACAGGGTAGAAGCTGATCTGCATGATGTTCATTGTCATAGCATCCTGCTAGTACTCTGCCTAGACGTCCAGTGCTCCATGCTTGCTAACAATTGTAATTGCCTGCGGTTGACCTGTGATACCGGTTGACAGTAGTGAGATAGAAAGCAGAGTCTCGGTGGACTCGAGTAATACACTGGGAAGTAGAAGCGTCAGCCCTTAGCTTTGGCTCAGTCAGTAATGTTATTATGTTTGGCATATCTTTTGAATACTCTTAGGCCTTGCCACTCCATCTGTTGAACTGAGTTCATAATAATGCCCTGGTCTATCTCACAAGAATGTTGTATGAACAAATTAAATAAGTGTAAAAGTGCCTTGGAGGTAAAGCCATTCCATAAAAAGTCAGTGTGGTGTAGCTACCGAAAAGTGTGTTACAGAGGCTAATCTGCTTCATCTCCGAAGGCTTCTACCCAGATAAGGCTTCGTAATGGGTTCCTGTTAGTGAACCCAGCACATCTTACCAGTTTCTGACTATAGTATTTAAGGGGAAAGATCGCTATATAAATGTTTGTTACCTTCGTAAAAATACACATTAAAATCAGTCTTAACTGGCCATGGTGTAGTTCATATCTATAATCCTAAGTGCTTGGGAGGCTGAGGCAGGAGGATCATGAATTTGAAGCTACCCAAGGTTACCTATTCAGTTTTAGGCCAGTTTAGGCTACAAAGTAAGATCTTGACCCTCCCCCACTCCCAGCTCTGTCATATTTAGAGAAGGGGAAGGAGGGATTGGTAAATGTTGGATTTAAAACTTCAATCATGCAAGATGAATGACCTCTAGAGGTTACTGTAGAACATCAGCCGATGTTTGGTAGCATTATCATACATAGCTAAATACATTTTGAGGGTAGATCTCATATTAAATGCTCTTAATGCAAATAAAATTTTAATTAGTCATATTTGAATGAAATAAAAGCTTTCCAACTAGCTGCAAACAACTGATAAGGCACAACTCAGATTCTGTGATTAATTTAGAAGCTGAATTTGAAACATTTACTAAAGTTGAGAAATAAGCATATGACATTATATGTAGGGAAGAAAGTCTGAAGCCTCTCAGGAAATCATTATTCTTAAGGATAAACATCACCAAGTTGAGATTTTTTTTCAGCTTTGCTCCTGTTGTTCTGATGCAGCTTCTCCATCTCAGCATTCTCATTCTCAGTCACAATGATGTATACAAAATGACTCGCTATAGCGCAGTCAGAGGTGCCCCAAATCCCAAGCAAATGGGAAAGAGGAGGAGGTAACTTCGCTAGGAGGATCTGCCGAGCACTCCTGTTTCTCTTCCCCTTTGTCATCACACACAGTCTCTGTGCAGGTTGTCAGTTCTGCCATGCTCAGTGCTGAAGAAGGGAATCAAGCAGACAGTTAACTAGACATATGTAAGAAGAGATTCTCCCCAGGCCATCATCAAAAGCTTTCATCTTTGGGTCAAGTTGATCTCTTTCCTTGGCAGGGGTCCTTTCCTTGTGGCTCTGGGGAAGTCTTGGCACCCAGAAGAATTTAACTGTGCTCACTGCAAAAACACGATGGCCTACATTGGGTTTGTTGAGGAGAAGGGAGCACTGTATTGCGAGCTTTGTTACGAGAAGTTCTTTGCTCCTGAATGTGGCCGGTGCCAGAGGAAGATCCTCGGGGTGAGTGCTTGAAACTGCTCTGTTTTGCTGTATCCCAAAGCTATGCCGATTCTTATAATAAATCTTTTCATTATTTTTACTTTTTATTTTCTTCTTGTTTTATCAACCCTTTCTGCTTTCTTTAGTTGTGTTTATTATAAAACAAAACTAAACAGACCTCTAAGGAAGTATATCAGACTCCTGGGGTTAGTTGTCTTTGGTTTTCCCTTACTGAGGTCTGGCTTGTCTGGTGAAAGTCTAGCCACCATGGGAAAAATAATTTACTGTGGGTGTGCTACCTCAGCAGGACCCTGTTTGCTCAGGATGAAGAGGCCGTCCAGGACCACACACAGGAGCTTTCAGGACTGACACCTTCGCTGGTGTAAATTAAATTCCATAGCTTTTATAAGAGCAGCCTTTCCCTACTTGTCAGAGTTCAAGCATAGGACACTGATCTCATAAAATATATAAAATTTGTAAAATATGAAGCTTATAATATTTTTATTTGAATAACTATAATGTTTAAAACTGTGATTTCAGTTATAGAAGTGCACATATGATAGGAAAAACATTTCAAGCTATACTGTTTTGGCAAAAGAAAGAAATAATGATGAGTAGATGCACTTCATGTCATATAACATCCAATTTTAGTAAGAGTCCAGTGTCTACTATAGGTGACCAGTAGTGGGGGGAATTTGATTTTAGAAGAAACCAGTGTTCATGGCTTTAACATATACAAGTTGGAATGGCTTTGCTGAATTCTGCCTACTACTCTTAATCTCAAAATACAATAATGAAACTATAGAAAATTTGAATTATGGAGAACATGCTTAAGTAGCTTTAAAAATAGTTATAGTTATAAATATGCCACCTGACCAATTTCTATGCTATTAATTTGTCCAATGTGTTGGTAATAAAGGAATATAATGGCTAGCCTGTTCCTCGTAAGTGCTGACAGATAATCAGTTAGTAAGCTGTATATTAAAGTACTATTTAGTGAGTAAACGTATTCTGTGGATTAGAGCATAATTAATAAAATTAATTATGTAAGAATTGTAAAAGCTGTTAGACTATAGGAAGTGAAAGAATTTCCATGTTATTAAATATTCTTCAGAAATTGTTTTTCAATTGCTTTACATCTTCTCAATCAAATCCGTTGAAATAATTCTTGAAAAACTAGCAACCCAAACCTTTTACTGATTAAAATCTCTTCCTAGCCTTGCGCCTTGGAGTATTTAACCAGGAGGACATTGTGAGCTAGGATCCTTGCTTTTATGGTTCACACTTTACTCGATGGAGTAAGTGCACAGTGCAGCCACAGCTGATTCCAAAAAGCTAAACACTCAATGAGCTAATTGGATTATACTGATTACATTATTGCTTCCATAATGCACTGGAGTTTAGGTTTGTTTTAGTTTTTAAATGCTTTCCCTTCCTTCATGACATTTTCAAGATAATGCCATGAAAGTTTTTCAGGTTAATGCATCCAGGCCAACCCTTTGAAAGAAAGCAGAATGTGTTGTAGCGAGCATTTATGTGATCTTTCCCTTAGTTACTGCATGTGAAGGCTTAGTAATAGTGATTATTTTGTTTATGGATTTGTATTTATGGAAAGCAGACACATTAAATAGCTTTCAGTGATGTGTGAATCTATCACTAAGTTTCTCATTTCTTTGATGAAAAGTTCAAGACAAAGATGAAATACTATGCCTACGTTAAGCTAGCGTAGTACAACAGTAAGTGTAGGTATTGGTGTGTTTATTGTCATCTTTTTTAAAAATCCATCTGCCTTTCTATAACAGGAAGTCATCAATGCTTTGAAACAAACCTGGCACGTGTCCTGTTTTGTGTGTGTGGCCTGCGGAAAACCCATTCGAAACAATGTTTTCCACTTGGAAGATGGAGAGCCATACTGTGAGACTGGTGAGATAATAAACCTTTAGAGCCTTAATTAAGTATAAAGCTAAATCACTTATATTTCTGTAAAACTGAAAGAGAAGTGTAGGCCAATGACGTTTCCTTATTATTTTTGAGGCATTACACATTACATATTACTCAATAGATAGCAAAACAAAATAATAAAAACTATTCATGACCTTGTCAACATAAACATTTCCAACTTCATCATTAACATCATGAACATTAAGAACACTAACATTACTTAGTAGGAAAAATATGTTCGAATCTCCAATCATTATAGATATAAATTCTACCCAAAATGTAGCTTAAAGCTACTTGTTGTGGTAATGAATACCTCGTGGTTATAAATAAACATGAGAAATGTTTAACATTCGGGAAAAAAAAAAAAAGTGAAGTCATTTGCTACCTTTACTGAATAGGAACGTAATCTTGGCTAAGATTGCTCTCTAGTAAAGATATTCTTAATGATTTAGCTTCTACCTGAACCCCCAGCACTTCCTTTTCCTTTGCCACATTTGCAAGAGAACGTTCTTACCATTTACTCCTCATTCAGATATTGCTTGCACAATGCATATTTCAAAATATGAAGCATGCTTTCCTTTATTTTGCCTCTACTAACTACCAGTAACTGAATTCCCACTGTTGAGTTTTAATCTTATTTTAGATTGAAATTCAAAATGTGGTCCTAGAAGAAGGGATTATTGCCCAGTGGTGCAGTTAAAGAGACTATCGGCCTTTGTCTGCAGCTGGTTCAGCATCACTTAACTCTTTGCTCAGTACTCTGGTTTTCACGTTGCCCTTAGCCCCTTAGTTAGGAAGAGTTTGGCTCTGTTCCAGATTGCTCACCAGGAAGCCCCGGAACCTCCAATAAAATACCCCATGTGTTGTTAGCAGTATAAGTTGACTGGAAAGTTCCTACCGTCTTCAGAGTATCTCGTGTTCTACAGCTTATTTTTTCTGAAGAGAGACTTGGGTTTTGTTTAGTTGATTGGCTGGTCTGTGAATTTTAGCAGCTTTGTAAGACATTATGATTAACTGAAAAACATAAACATCTATCTAGGCTAGGATGCTTAATGTCTTCTAGGAAATCATGACGTAAAACTAATGCATTGCTAGCAGAGGGGAATCATGGTCTAAATTTTATTCTTTTCCCTTAATCTTCAACTAGTTCTTAGTAGTGTTCCCATCTCAGTAGATGGCTGCATTGTCCACTGTCTCAACACCTAGGATTCCTCTCTCTGTTCTTCCAAAACAGAATCTACCAAGTAATTCTGGCAATTCCACATCCAGTGCACGTTAGTTAAGCATCTCCTTCCCTCTCCAGTGTGCCCAGCTTGCTCTCACTCTTTGCCTGGACTTCCCAAAAGCAGGTGCAGAGTAATTGGGGCAATGACAACAATAGCAGATTGTGCTTGTATCCTGTAAATGGCATCTACTAGAATGAGAACCGTCCTCCTTGCTGCTTTGCCAGATTTATCTTCTGCCTCTTTACATTCTGACACTAGATTTAACCCATATCTTATCCCTTTATTATTTCTGAACATGACTAAGATTTTATTTCTGGCTCCTCCAGGGCCTTCATACTTAACAGCTTCTTCTAACTAGAATATTTTCAGTGTGATTCCTCCTTGTTCTTTGAGTCTCATCATGACTGCTATGTACCAGAGAAGGTTTTTCTCACTCTCCTATAATGTAGTATGTACCTGTGCCCCTACCTGTTCTGTATCATAGCACTGGGTTTGGCTTCATTGTACTTATCACAATCTTAACCGAAGCCTCATGTGACGAGCATCCACGCCTGTCCTTTTTACCTCTGTGGTGCCAGGAGCACTGCCTCATAGAGTGTATGGAGGTGTAGTCCGCATGTGGTGCTACAGAATATTTGTCTCAAGCTGCATGTTACATGATCTCTCCCCTCCAATGTCAGGTGGATTGACATTATTAAAGGCCAAAAGTTGGTCATAGGTCAGCAAAGTAGTGAAGTTGAGTATAGGAGAATAACAATGTGACAGCACTCCTATTTAACAATAGAAAAGGGACAAGGCCACTTTCATCAGAAGGGAATCCTGTTAGTATTTTAGAACTAATCCGTCAAGTTATTTGTGTTCTCTGACTAAAGATTTCCTGTATGGAGTCATAAAACTGGCAGGAAGATATAATGAAAGAAAGTATGGCTGGTTTTATTGGCATAGTCCAGCTAGGAATTCATTTGGGAAAGTGTCCTGAAGCCTGTACTTGAATGTTAACCAGTAGGGTTTGCCATGTTTGCTCTCGTATATTAACTAGGCTCATTGTTGCAACTGATTGAGAGTCCTTTACTGTTCCTCGGCATGTCCAAGTGCACTGAAAACTGCACAGGACAGCGATCTCCTGTTCATGCATCTGACATTTAAACAGAGAGACATGGAACACAGGATATACAATAAAAAACTAAATTTCACTGTAGTGTTTGCCATGCTGGATGTACATCCCAAGCAAGGTAGTGGTTCCTCTGCAGAAACTGTCCTGTTTCCCCTCCAGCCCAGTGAGGAAATCCCCACCTAGCTGCCCCACCCCCAGTGGGTATTGTATTCCTCAGTTCCACCTCAGTCCTTGCCTTATCTCATTTAACTCCCATCTTACCACTGTTTTCTGTGACCTGCCGTTCCAAAGCCTCACCGTGTACAAATTGCATCTCTCCTAACCTGTACAGATTATTATGCTCTATTTGGAACCATATGCCGTGGATGTGAATTCCCCATAGAAGCTGGCGACATGTTCCTTGAAGCTCTGGGCTACACCTGGCATGATACTTGCTTTGTATGCTCGGTAAGTCAGCTGCTATCCTGGTCAGAGCTTAGTGCTCGGGAAGTGACAGCACTTGGGTCTTTCCTTTCCTCAGAAGAAATGAACAGTTTTTTGATGTTCTTAAAAGTTGGACTTGACATTATTTGGCATATAATAAGATCTTACCCCAAAGAAAATATGACTTTTAATGCATTCTTATCTCTAAGAACATTTTTGCCCTTTTTTTAAAAATATGAGTTCTTTTCTTAAATTTCTTTATTAAACAATTTAAGTTACTTTTGACATATTGGGTATTTCTTAAATAGAAAACAAATTCTAAAAAAAAAAAACAGATAGCCAGCAAGATGTCTCAATTTTTTTTTCTGACTCAGAAATAGCTCATGAATTTTCTTTGCTTTTTGAAACGGTAATGAACATGCAAAAGAATTTTACCTATTTCATTTGCTACTTTAATGTTCTTGGTTTTGATTTTATTTGTTTTTGGTGTTTGTATGTGTATGTGTGTGTTCATGTGTTTACGTTATTATGGAGACTGAAGGACGGCCTCAAGTGTCACCTTCAGAACCCTGGCCCCTCCTTTGAGACAGAGTTTCTCATGGGCCTAGAACCTGCCAATTGGGCTAAATGGGCTGGCCCTCTTTTCTTCACTTTTCCAGCCTTGGGATTACAAGCATGCATGTACCATGACACCCAGTATTTGTTCATGGTTTTGGGGGCTCAAACTCAAGTGCTTTATTGACGGAGCTATCCCCACCAGCTCTTTGTGGAGACTGGAGACTTGGTCTCACTGTGTAGCTCCAGCAGACCTGGAACTCCCTATGTCAATGATGATGAGGCTGCCCTTAAATTCATAGAGATTCACCTGCCTCTGCCTCCTGAGTTCTGCAACTAAAGGTGTGAATCACTATACCTGGCCTTCTGAGTTTTATTTTTAATAATTCAGACAGATCAAAAGATTAACATTGACCCTAAGATAATTTTGATATATAAAGCTCATATTCAGTAAAGATGCTACATTCTAGTATTTGATATCTGTTACTGCTGTTAGATGTAATATATCTAACAGTGTTTGATACCCATTGTATAAAAGAATAGATAATAGTGAAATCAAATGATTTCTCCAAACATTTTCTTTGAACACTTCTTGTTTTTACTTCATTCATCATTTAGACTTCATAAAGCTTATAAAAAGCAACTTTTACATATTAACCTTCTCAGGAAAGCCTTCTCATGAACGTCGCCATTTGCGAGAGAGCAGAAACGGCATGAAGGGAAAAGTGGGGGTGGCCTGACCACAAAACCACCGCGCTGGCAGATACTGCCCAAGGTGTTCACTGTAGAGTCAAGTTAAATCAGTTCTTTCACAAATGAATAGCTTTATCCAGAAAGTAAATGAAAGTCAACCTATGGGGACTGGAAAGATGGCTAAGTGATTAAGAACTCTTGCTGCTCTTGCAGAGGACCCGAGTTTGGTTCCCAACACTCAGATCAGGCAACCCCCAACCAGGGCTCTCAGTGCATCTCATTTCCCACAGCACCTCCACTCACATACACATACCATACTCAGACTCATACACATAATAAAAAAAATCAAGTAAAAGATAAAAATAATCTATGGCCAGTATATAAGAGAACAGACTGACATTGGGTTTGGTCATGCTTAGCAAAGCTATTGAACTGTTTCTTTTTTAATTCGTTAATTTTTTTATAAGAGGAAACATTTAAAAGATTGATTAGAATTTGTATACTTAGTGTGACTCTTTGATGTATTAAAGTTTTCATTAGTACTAAATGCTTCCTTCTTGGTAAAGAAGAGCAGTCATCAGTGTTTTAAATAAACCAGACTATGTTCCAGAAGAAAAAAATCACTCTGCTTTTCCAAGATGACTAATATGTCATGGTAATCATGATGTATCAGGATGTCTGACACAGCTATCCACAGAGGGACAAATCTCACTTTGGGAGATTTGATTTAAATAATGATAGTCTTTTTAAGTAACTCTTCTTTTTTGCAGGTGTGTTGTGAAAGTTTGGAAGGTCAGACATTTTTCTCCAAGAAGGACAAGCCTCTTTGCAAAAAACATGCCCATTCTGTGAATTTTTGAAAATCAACAGTTCCAGAAAGAGAAGAAATCTGAAGAAAAGGGGGGAAATTAAAATTATCATTTAATTTTTAGTTTTAATATTTATATGGAGTTCTAAAATAATAATAACTCTGAATGGATAAACTCCAACATTAAAAACCCAGTCTGTGAGAAAATGTTTGGCTTCAGAAAGTCACAGACAGTTTGGGGTTTATTATGACTAGCCTGTATTTTCTGCCCATGAAGTAGCCTTTATAAAAATCAATTTCCTGACTACCAAACTCATCTTGGAATAAATTAGCAAAGGATTACATTTTAGAATTAAAAACTCTAGCCTCTATGCTGAAGTGATACTTTCTTTCCTTGTAGCTATGAGAATCCCCAGAGGGCAATATAAGTGCCTTAGACTTTATTAATAAGAATAATTGTTTTAATAAACTCATTTTATCTTTAAAATAGTAAGTAGGAGTTTAAATAAACTTTATGAGTAGGACCATGCTATCTTTTTTTAAAATTTTTTAAATTTTTTTTCTTTTTTTTTAGTCTGTGTGCATGCTTTGGTCTTATCATTGGTCCTCTTAGTAAGACAGCCCAATTGATCGTAGTTTGTTATGCAATAAGAGATGCTGTATTCTCCTGTGTTCTTCCTAAGACTGCCATGTTGCATGTTGCTTACAGGTCACAGATGCTGATCTCTTCAGATAGGGCAGTTTGTTTGCACTGTGGGTGGCTCATCACCTGGGCTAGGCTGCAGTGTTTCTCCTCTCTTATGCTGACGTGAAGAGAGTTCAGTAGTGCTTAGACTAATAGTTTTCTCTCTCTTTTTAACGAGAATAGGTAGAAGATAAAGGAGCTAGAAATTGGGAAAATAAAGCAATTGAGAAGTAAAAAAGAATCACTTGCTCCTTTCAGATAATGAACTGATTAGTGTTTACAGTTGTGTCACTGACTGAATGACAATGTGGAAACTCTTTGCCTGGTAATTTTTTCAATTGAGGATTAGGATAAGACACAAGTTATTGTTGTTACTGTTTGTTTGTTTGCTTTTCGGTTTTGTTTTTTGTTTTTTTGTTTGTTTGTTTTGTTTTTGCTTATTTGGGGTTGTTCTGGAATTTTGTTTGTTTGTCTGGGATTTTTTCCTATCAGTAGGAAGTAAATTCCCTCTCATTGTGTGATCATGGAGTTAGGCAACTTTTATTCTCTGCCGTTTGGAAGGACAGGGAACCATGATCCATTGCTCACATTGTCCTGTCGTGTGTTCTCCTTGATTGGGCAGAGCATTGTAGTCAGGAAAGTAGCTATGAGAAAGCCATGCAGCGTGGCTCACTGCCCAGTGAGAAAACAAATTATGGCATTTGATATTTTTTTTTTCTACAATGAATGAAAGCCCCTGATCCTGCTGAGTTGTGACTAAATCTGTTGGGAGCATGGGGCTTTCAAAATTCAGATAGAGCACCCAGTTCTTGCTGCCCCATCTTTAAAGAGCACCTGTGCGTGTGTGTGTGTGTGTGTGTGTGTGTGTGTGTGTGCGCGCGCGCGCGTGGAGGAGACCATAGGCTACAGTATTTGTTTAATCATCCCCCAGAACTTTCAAGGTATCTGTCCTGAAAGCTGCTAATTTATGGACTAGTAAATTTATATTATATGCAGATAATAACAAACTGGGGGATAAATGAACAGGAAGGGTGACACATGTAAACCGGAAGTGTCTCCAGTAGCAGCCCAGACGGCCTCCTCACCTGTGCTTGTAGGAGTCAGTGCTGGAACGTTTTGCTCACATTAGATCATTTTGCTGCAGACTCACTGGCTCAGGTGCATTAGTTCTCATCTGAATGTCAGGCTTTGGCTTTATACTACAAAAGAATGGTTTTTTTTTTTGTCTTTTATATGCTATGCCATGATAATGCCATGATAATCACAACTCATTGGCAGTTGCATATTCAAATAATTTTCTTTGACTTGGATTTACTATAAAGTTACCTTTCCTTAAGGTTTTCACTTTTATTAAACCTTATTTCTCTGTTACTTGTGAAATATAATACTGCATTTTATAATGCCGTATTTCTCTAAATTTAATCTCTATAATGGTAGTGTGGCTTGCTAATTTGGCGTTGTGTCTTTATTCTTTGCCTATCATGTTGTACGGCAAGTTTTGTTTCAGTTCCTAAAACAGTGGCTCCCGGGAGATAAGTTCTCACCATAACCAGAAGAGTCTTCTGCATTGAGGATCGGCATGCTCCATGTACTAGCATGGATCCTTTAGTACCTGGCACAGCACTTTACCCTTCTGGCAGGCTCACTGAGTATCTCGTATAAATCTTCTGTGTCAGTAGCATTTTTTCATTATTACATTTTCAACATAGAACACTGAGTTTTTCTCATGCTAAGTGTTTATTTTGAAAGTTTGCTCGATAAGCTCCAGATGAAAACAGTAGTGCATAATTCTTCGTGTCCATTATTCGATTTCTCATTTTTGAGACTTCGAGGGGCCAAGATTGATACTGTTTCTCTAATTGTTCTGGACGGCTGTTGCCTATTGAAATAGGAACCTCTGCTTATGTTCATAGCCACTCCGTGTTTCCTGTTAGTAGGGTTACCTTCTCCGTGTAAAACTAAAGCCAAATTATTTGGCCACAGTATTAAAAGTGATCATTTATCTTTCAAATATTGATACAAAACCGTATTTAAAATTCTCTACAACAAAATGTATTCTTTTCAAGGAACGCTAGATACTTAATGTGTAATTTGCCATACCCGTCAATCATTGTCTTTTGTTCCCTTGCATTTTTAAGTTTGTATGTAGTTACTCTTTTGCTTTTGGGTATGTTTTCTAATTAATACAATCACACTAGAAATATAATCTGTATAGTGATACCTTAATGAGCACGTACTCAATAAACACCTGCAATGATGACACACACACCTGGTTTTTCTCTCTGGGTGGTATGTGATTTCACTTAAGTGAACATGGGGAGAAAGTCACGTTCCTTCCTCATAGGATGTGAAGATGTCATAGCCCCCCCGAAGAGCCTCTGCCATGGTATTGGCCAATCCCAATGACCCAGAAACAGGACATTTGAAAATACTGCATTTACTGTATTATTCACCTTTTGTGCTTTGCATGTATAATGTTTTATATTTATAAGTTAGTAGATAAGCTGTCTTTAAATACGTTTGTTGCCAAAATGATTAATTGGAATGACCTAGTATCATGCCTTGTTATGTCATGGATCGTAGGCAGAGAACAAATTCCCTGCTCTTTCCATTTGGCTGAGCCAGGCTATGTACAGCTCAGCTCAATCTCATTAGCTGACTGGTCATTGCTAGGTAGGCTCACTCACCTCTTACTCATTTGTTTAGTGGCTGGAGGGGGATATTTTTTCCTAACTGTATAAATTAAGGGATGTCTGCGTTTCAGGCTGTACATTGGGAATGGGAGAGAAACTCAAGTCTATTTTGCCCACAGTATATTAAACTCCAGAAGCCAAACTTTTAAGGGCATCGAGTCTGCATCTGACATTTTAATAGCTGCTGTTTGGTTTCTGTCAATCACGTCATTGCACATTAAAATGCACCGACAGAATAAGAGATCTGTCATTCCTTCGTTAAGAAACAGTAATCCAGTACGAGATTTATAGGCTTACGTCTCAACTGTGTGTTCACAATAAACCCCCCCTTCGGTGCTGAAACCAGAGCAAGACTCCCTGCCAGTCAGTGTTTTCTACTCACTTGTCCCCAATATAAGATTATCAAAGGTTTTCTGACTGAACTACATATAAAAATCCTTTTGCCAGCAAAAGCTTAATTTAGCTTGGCAGTTTCCCTTTCTGAGCACTCTCCCAGACAAGATCTTGGTTATATCAGAAACACATAGGCACTATGTATTATTAGCAGGCCTGGTGTTAATTAGGGAGAATTACCAGAAATAGTTTGCCTTGTGGAAATTTATTACAGAATCACACTTGACTGATGGCAGAATAGGAGTTGCTGAGAGAGAGCAGCTCCCACTCATAACCACTAATTAATAGGGTGCCAAAATTCTGCAGAGAAAGTTGCATCCCGAGTGTGGGAGCCTCACAGGGAAAATGGTTCCTGTGCAGTACTTAAAATTTAACAGAGGAAAGGAACCGGACACATGGCTACCTAACAGAATAGCAGGCTGCGGGGGCATTGGGCTGTATGAATGAAAGGGCTTAACTCAGTAAGTGCCGAGCCCCAGAGTATAAACAAAAGGTTATACATTTTGTTTTGTTTTCTGACCAGATCTCACTGTGTAGCCTAGGCTGGCTTGAAATTTGAAATCCTCCTTCTTCCTCGATCTCCTGAGTCCTGGGATGCCCTGCTTACACCAGAATGCCAAACTCATGCATATTAACTATTTTTAATATGGCAAAGTATCTGCTTCCTCAGCTTCATTTTATAAAAAGAATTTGGTGTTCACTATGTAGTCTGTGGTATGTCATTGAATTCTGATTCTTGATTCCATGATTTGCAGCCTGTCTGTATAGGTGGCAGGATCACACAAGTGCTGTTTAATAAGAAAGGTGTGGCTTCTACCCTTGAGTGTGGATGGGAGGAGGATGAGATGCATCTAATGATTGGCACTAATGGCAGAGCACTGGGGAGCCCTCCTAAATTACAGCTTGTCAAGAAATCAATTTCTTTCCTGTCTCTAACTGCTTGTAATTACGCGCAATAAAGCTTGGGGCTGTTGTTTAGGAGAATAAAACATTTCCATGTCAGAAAACCGCTGATCACTGACCTCAGGGAGGAAACTCGAATGACTTAGAATTCACAGAGGGTCTAATTCTTCAATTTCTCAGTTATGGTGAATGCGGTTCCCAAAGAATGCAACTTCTGTGCCAGGCCCAGATAGGACAGACACAGACAATTGACACAGGGCGTTCGTGTTTCAAAAGTCTCTGTGTCCAAAGTGTTTTAATTGGATTCTAAGTTAGTTTTTCATTTTCATATTCTAAACTCTCACATTTCCCCCTAAGATTTCAAATACAATTTGGTTTATTTTTTTCTTCTTCTCTCCTTTCTGCCCCCACCATTTCATCTTTGCTTGTCCCCTCACACAGCTAGTGCCCTTATAATCTGCTTAAAAGTCTCCTTGTTTCAGGTATAATTTGCTCTAATACCTTACAACGCACCTTGTGCTTCTGACACTAGTGTATCACTAATAACCTAACTTCTCCAGATCAGTGGGAAAGTGGATGGCGCTCCAGTGACATCATAGCTTATGAGTCTGGGCATAAATAAAAGTTTCTTTTGTGAAACCTATGTTGATGTTGTTCTGACTCCGGATGCTTTGTCCTTGTTTGCTCGAGAGTGCTATCAGTGCCCACCCTGAATGAAGTAGAGAGTGGAAAACATGGAACTTTCCAAGTATGAACTTCGCTGTGTTGAATTGATTCTGTTGACTTGACGCTTGTCATTCATTCCGCTCTGTTAAATTACTGTGCTACTCTGTAAAGTTTTTTCCTGGTGCCATTTTAAATATTTTGAATAAAAAAATGAATCTATCAGCAGGTTGAGAGTTGCTTTGCTCTTGAGAAAGTTTTCTAACCCATACACATCTGTCATAGCCTGCTTATTCCTGATCTTGCCAACTTTGATACTGTTAACCAAGTCAACATAGATTATAATGGTCTAAATTAAAGCCAGGCAAAAGGATAACAAAGGGCTGGAGAGACAGCTCAATAAGCCCTTGGCACAGAAAGGAAGATCCAAGTTCAGTCCCCAGCACCATGTAGAAAAATACAGTGGAGGCACACAACTATAACTCAACACTGAGGAGAAAGATAAATTTCTGAAGCAAGCTGGCCAGCCAGCCTGGTTTAATCTATGAGTTCCAGGCCAGTGGGAGACCCTGTCTCAAATCATGCACCCAGGAATATAATAGACATACACAATAATAAACAAACAAATAAATAGTGGGTAGCTTGAGACTGAGAAGGAGGGCAGCTTGAGAAGGAAGTCCTGTCTCTATGGCGAGGGCTCACACCTTGTTGGAGACAGTGGTTTCAGTCCACCAAATGACAGAGGTGTTCTCTAGGTTCCTGAAGCTGGAGCTCAACCTCAAAGTTCTAAGCACCAAGTGGGTCGGATGCATTAGGAGCTGGGGTGCTCCTTTGAGCCCAGGCCTAGAATAGAAAGTGGCAAGAGGCCACTGCAGGACGTGAGATCTTGATATCTGCAATCTGGACTCGGGGCTGGGCAGTGCACCGTCAGACATCCGCTCACACATGCAGCACACTGGACCACACAGAAAAGCAAAGTGCAGCACCCCAAGTGGAAGAGCTGCTCCTTGCTGCAGCAGCATGCTCCTTAATATGACAAAGGTTAACCCCATGACTGCAACAGAAAACTGCTTTGAGACCAGTTCAGTGTCCTGGAGCAAACACCAAAAGTAACGTGGAACTGGAAGTCAATAAAGTTAGTCACTGACCCTGGACTCAAAGGAAAACAAAATTCTCCACTACACTGATGTCCATAACACCGAACATTGTGCATATTGATGAACTGTAAAGCCAAACAAGCTGAGGCTGGAGCTCACTTCCCTAGCACACCAAAGGCCTGGGTTTAACATCACAGAAACACAGTTGCACAAGAAATCCTAGCCCGGTGTGGGAGCTCACACCTGGAATCCTGGTACTCAGGAGACTGGGAGAATTGCCATGATTTTAAGGACATTGTGACCTTATTCTAGGCCAACCTGGGCTACTTTGAAGTAAGACCTTATTTTAAAAATTTTAAAAAGAAAGAAGGGGATAGAGATGTGGCTCAATTGGTAGAATCCTTTCCTAGAATTTCATGAAGCCCTAGATTTGAGCTCAAGCATAGTGGTACGTGCCTATAATCCCAGTACTGGGGAGGTAGAAAATCAGGAGGCTCAAAGGCTGAAGGTGTCTTTTGTCTTCCATAGAGAACCAAGACCAGTCTGGATTATGGAAGGGAAGGGAAAGGAAGGAAAGGAAAGAGAAGGGAAGAAAGGAAGGGATGGGAAGGGAACAGAAGAAGGGAAGGGAAAGACAAAGGGAAGGAGCAAACAACAACAACAAAACCTACCTTGTTCTTTATTGCCAGAAATCCTTTGATAACGTGCTTTCAATATACAAAGAAGTGGCCACATTGCACTAAAGTATTTTTCAGTCTACCCTTCAGATGTCTAGTATAACTGGGTAGTTCTGATTACTGAAGAAACTAGTTAGATGTGTACTAGGACATGACCTAAGAAGTGTTTGCACGCATTGGTTTCCATGTGTGGGAAGGGTTGAAGCATTTGTTACCTAATAATGACTTCAGTGTCCTGGAGTATTCAGCGTGAACATCTGTTCACATTCCATATCCACATTAATCACTTGCACAGTCCTGTCCCCTCTCTAAGAAAAGGTGAGAGGGTAAATCAAGACTTGTCTAATCAGGATTTGATTCGTTGTGGACATGTTGTAGTTTAGGTGGTGTCTTACCTGTTATTTGAGAAACACTAGTGATTCAAAGCACTCATGACCTGTAATAAAGTTTACTCTTTTTACCAATAAATTTCATCCTCATATCAATATGATGGTGAACCTATAGAATACGATCGAAATACAGTTTCTCTGAAGGCCAGTTTAAATTATTGTCCCAAACATTGATACTCATGTATTTTTCATTCTTATTAGAAATTAGGAAATGAAATAACCCTGAGAAGTTCTTTTCTAAGAATATACACCTACTACCTGGAAAATCTGAGAGTCAGACTTTTTACTAGACTAGGGAGAAATACGTTTACTTGGAGTCCCTCTTACGAATAAGAGCTGTATATACATTAATAGTCATGCCGGTGTCAAGAAAGGCACGGCTTTGATGGAACACGCAGCCCTGAATGCTGTATCTGCCCGACGTGCAGTTGCCTGCTGCACAGATGT